CTGTATTAGGTCCAGAATGATGTGTGGCAAGTTTCGAGAAAATCGGTTCAGATTTAGATATAGCTCTTATATAAATTTTCACCCGATTTAAGGTACGTGGTGCACAAAAGACCCTATATATCTTTCGATTTGCACGAAATTTTGCATAGCGCACTGAATTAGGTCAAGAATGATGTGTGCTAAGTTTCGTGAAAATCGGTTCAGATTTAGATATAGCTCCCATATATATTTTTGTCCGATTTAAGGGAAATGGGGCACCAATGTTCCTCTATATATTTCGATTTGCACTAAATTTGGCATAGAGTACTGTATTAGGTCCAGAATGATTTGTGCCAAGTTTCGAGAAAATCGGTTCAGATTTAGATATAGCTCCCATATATATTTTCGTCCGATTTAAGGTTAATGGGGCACAAATGTTCCTCCATATATTTCGATTTGCACGAAATTTTGCACAGAGTACTGTATTAGGTCCAGAATGATGTGTGCCAAGTTTCGAGAAAATCGGTTCAGATTTAGATATAGCTCCCATATATAGTTTCACCGATTTAAGGTAAATGGTGTACCAAAGTCTCTGATAATCATTCGATTTGCACGAAATTTGTCATAGCTCACTGAATTAAGTCTAGAATGATGTTGCTAAGTTACGTAAGAAGATCCATAGCTAGGCCGATTAACACAACGTACTGAAGTAATATAGATTAGTATCTGGCAATTTTCCCTGAAATCGGTTCAGATATAGATATATGTAACAAAAACGCGACGTCTGTTAGGATACATATGTAAAATATACCCAAAGGGTATATTCTATATGATACACCCAAAGGGCCGACTATATGATACAACCCAAAGGGTGTATCGGTCCAGTCCGACTTTACTACTTTCCTTACTGGTTTTAAATGTTTTTCCAATATATTTTTTTAATTTTTCAAAATATTTTTTTTTAAATTTTCCAAATATTTTATGATTTTTTAATTCAGCATTTTTTGCGTAATAAATTATTTAAAAATAAATTTTCTGACACAATAAAGAAAATAAATCTTTAAAATAAATGGAATATTTTTCTTTATTGTTTTTTTTTTTTTTTTTTTTGTTAAATTTATTTATGGCCATTTTAAATCAGATATTAAATATAAATAAAAAACACCAAAAGAAATAACAAGAGAAAGGTGGGCTGCTTTCTTCCGTAAAGCGTAAAGTAATTCCCAGAATTTGTTTTTGTGTGTGAGTAATCGGGATTTTGCCCGCCAAAAAAATGATTTTTCATAATAAAAAATTCTGAGAGATGAATTGGGAGGTTCGATTGGTTTGTCAATAAACAAGAATTCGAGTTGGCACCACTTGCTTGCCTTGTGTGCAGGAAGCAGCCACCGTGAATTGCTGTTCTCTTTGTAGACAAAGTTTAATTTTTTTAAATTATTATTATTTTTATATAATAGTAATAATAAAAGTGGTGTTTTAGTATTAGTGTGTCTTTGTCTTTGTGGTCGTGGTGTTTGTTGTTGGGGGGTTTGGGTATGGGTATGAAGGGGTGTCTTTTGTTATCCGTTTTGTTCCTTTAGTAAAAGTCATCCGGAGAAGCGAGGAAGAGAAAAAATAATTTGGGAAAAGGTAGATGGAGAGAGTGGGAGGATGCAAGTAAAGTAGTTAGAATATCTCTAAAGTTAGGAAATAATTATTTTCCAAGCTCTCTGAAGAAGAAGACGAAGGACCACCAACAAGAAACCAGCGGTGGCAAGCAAATGCTGCCTCTGCTGCACTACTTAATGTCGACACTTCTGTGTAATTTATGATGTGCCGCATTAAACATTAATAACAACAAAAACAACAACAACAAAATAAATATATTTCACAAAACTTTTATATAAAATTCAACTCAGAGACGGGCGGACAGACACACACACAGACACATTCAAAGCAACAACAATATACATACTTACGACAAGCAAACAAAAAAAAAAGAAGACAGACGTGTAAAGCGACGGCGGGTAATGTTCACTGGGAAACCACAGAATTCTGGCAGCACGTAAATGAAGCATGCCACACGCTTTTGCTGCTGCTGTCGTTGCTTTTGCGTTTCGCCACGTTCAACTTTGGAGGAGTAGCAGCAGCAGCTATGAATTTAATTCGTTCGATGCCAGCTTGTTTATGAGTTCAATGCGTGTGCCAACGAGAGTGTGTGTGTGTGTGTGTGCCCGCGCTCACTGTGTTCCGAACATTGAAAACCGAACAACACAAAAAAGAAATAAATTTAATTAAATTAAATAAATTATTAAAATGCATAAATTTCTTACGCAAGGCGTAAGCTTTTGTGTGTGTGCGTGTGTGTGTGCGTTCATCTGTCTCTGTACGTCTCTGTGTGTGAGTGTTTGTGAGTATTTTTTTGTGAATGTTGAAAAGCGCGCGTGTATTCATAAATTTATTATTTATGAGACGACAGAAGGAGGTAGGCATTGCTGTTCGATGTTCGTCGGAATATATATTTTTTCTGGTTTTTGTTTGTTAGGGCGGGAGGTAGAGAGAGATAGAGAGAGAGTGGGTTCACTACAACCAGCAATTATACAATGGATAATTATTTACTTTAGTTACTTCTTTCGCTCTCTGTTGCTGCAGATGGTCAGCCATTCAGTTCGACTGTCACTACGTCAGTCACTCAACAAGGCTATCTGTCATTTATCCTTTTTTGTTGTTGTTGCTTAAGCCGTCGGTCGGTCCGTCCGTCTGTCTGTCGTTCACTTGCTTGCTTCATTTACATTTAAATAATAAGCCGCCAACATCGACACAGCCATCAACTGCAACATAAAGTGGCATGGTGTCACTGCTGTGTTCTCAGATGCTCCCAGTGCGAGTGTGGCGTAATGGGGTGGGTTTTTTTCTGTGACATTATTAATTATTTAAAATAAATATAACTAAATATAGGAGAAGTCATAAAAAAGTATTTTACTTTGAAAGGAACAAATTTCGGGCCACATGGCAAGAGCGGGGCACAGATGGGATAGTGGATGTGGATTTTTAAAAAAATATATATTTTTTTCAAGTAACCAAAAGAAGCGTGGATTAAAAAAAAATATTTTTTTTCAAGGCGTGGATTTTTTTAAAAAAAATATTTTTTTCAAGGCGTGGATTTTTTAAAAAAAAATATTTTTTTCAAGGCGTTGATTTTTTAAAAAAAAAAATATTTTTTTCAAGGCGTGGATTTTTTAAAAAAAATATTTTTTTCAAGGCGTGGATTTTTTAAAAAAATATTTTTTTCAAGGCGTGGATTTTTTAAAAAAAAATTTTCGAGGCGTAGATTTTTAAAAATATTTTTTTCAAGGCGTGGATTTAAAAAAAAACATTTTTTTCAAGGCGTGGATTAAAAAAAAACATATTTTTTCAAGGCGTGAATTTTTTAAAAAAATATTTTTTTCAAGGCGTGGATTTAAAAAAAAAAATTTTTTTCAAGGCGTGATTTTTTAAAACAAATATTTTTTTCAAGGCGTGGATTTTTTTAAAAAAAATATTTTGGATTTTTTTAAAAAAAAATATTTTTTCAAGAAGCCACAGCCGAAGGCGTGGATTTTTTAAAAAATATTTTTTCAAGAAGCCACAGCCGAAGGCGTGGATTTTTTAAAAAATATTTTTTTTAAGAAGCCACAGCCGAAGGCGTGGATTTTTTAAAAAAATATTTTTTCAAGAAGGCGTGGATTTTTTAAAAAAATATTTTTTCAAGAAGCCACAGCCGAAGGCGTGGATTTTTTAAAAAATATTTTTTCAAGAAGCCACAGCCGAAGGCGTGGATTTTTTAAAAAATATTTTTTCAAGAAGCCACAGCCGAAGGCGTGGATTTTTTAAAAAATATTTTTTCAAGAAGCCACAGCCGAAGGCGTGGATTTTTTAAAAAAATTCCAAGAAGCCAAAGGGCGTGGATTTTTTTAAAAAATATTTTTTCAAGAAGCCACAGCCGAAGGCGTGGATTTTTTAAATAATATTTTATTTTTTAAAAATTTTTTTAAGAAATATTTTTTCAAGAAGCCACTGCAAGTCGTGGATTTTTTAAATAATATTTTATTTTTTAAAAATTTTTTTAAGAAATATTTTTTCAAGAAGCCACTGCAAGTCGTGGATTTAAAAAAAATAATATATTTTTTCAAGAAGCCACAGCAAGGTGTGGATTTTTTAAAAAATATTTTTTCAAGAAGACACAGCAAGGCGTGGATTTTTTTAAAAATAATTTTTTAAAGAAGCCACAGTCGAAGGCGTGGATTTTTTTTAAAATATTTTTTTAAGAAGCCACAGACGAAGGCGTGGATTTAAAAAAAAAAAATATTTTTTTAAGAAGCCACAGTCGAAGGCGTGGATTTTTAAAAAAAAAATATTTTTTCAAGGCGTGGATTTTTTAACAAATATTTTTTCAAGAAAATAAAATAATTTTTATAGCCTCTTGGTAGGCCCTAAGGCGTGGATTTTTTAACAAATATTTTTTTCAAGAAATTAAAATAATTTTTATAGCCTCGTGGTAGGCCTTAAGGCGTGGATTTTTTAACAAATATTTTTTCAAGAAAATAAAATAATTTTTAAACAATTTTTATAGCCTCTTGGTAGGCCCTGAGGCGTGGATTTTTAGACAATTTTTATAGCCTCTTGGTAGGCCCTAAGGTGTGATTTTTTAACCGATTTTTATAGTCTCTTGGTAGGCCCTAGATAGGGGTGCATTTTGTTTTGCCTACATGAAAAATATTTTTTTTTTCAAAATGTCACGTTTGAATATTTTCAAATGGTCCTTCGGCCAGGACTTTTCAATCCTTTATCCGTTCTAATAGTATTTATTTAGAATTTCTGAATTCACTGAAAAATAAACTTTGAACTGATCTAATATTCTTCTCTTTTTCATTTTCAGGAAAAATAACTACAAAATTTCACCACCATTTTAACCTTCTACCCATCCGCCTAACGACCGCATATTAAAATGCACCTTGGTAAATTGCGAAAATAGATCGCATTACAAAAATACCCAACCAAAAATGGATTTGACAAAGGATATTTTAGATTTTACCCTAAAAGTGGAGCGCAACGAAATGGAAACGGGTGAGGAACCCAAATCTATGATGCCAGTGGCAAATGATTTTCAAGATTTCAAAGAATCGATTACATATCCTCGAGAAGAGGAAGCCACACCAACAGTAAGTGATAACAAATTAACTACAACAAAAGAAAGTGAAACCGATACCACAGCATCGTCTACAATGAAAGCCCCTTCCGAAGTAGCGGCAAAACCCACCACACCTCAGCTAATCGAGAGAGTGGCCAATCCATTGGAGAGCGGCATTAAACCCTTGATGGCTGGTGGTGATATCTCCCCGCCACCCAGGCCATTGACCTCCAGTGAGGTTGTGGGTTTTACAAATGTCTTAGAAGATCCCGAAATGCAATTGGATGCCTCGGTGGCTCTGAACAAATCGCGATCCTTGCCAGCCTCACCAAATCACCTGACCACAAGCCATCTAACAGAGTTGTTTGGTTTTGCAGCCATGAAAGGTTTGGAGGCGCCCATTAAATTACCCGATCCCTTAGAGGAGAGGCTACTCAGCAATCTAATGCCGAAAGTATTGGCCAATAAAACGGCACCCACCAAAGCCGTACCCGAGCCCGGACGCAACAACCAACAATTCTGCCTGCGTTGGAATAACTATCAAAGTAACCTGACAAATGTTTTTGATGAGCTGCTGCAAAATGAATCCTTTGTCGATGTGACCCTGGCATGTGAGGGCCATTCGATTAAGGCCCATAAAATGATTTTGTCCGCCTGTTCACCCTATTTTCAGGCTCTGTTCTATGACAACCCTTGCCAACACCCGATAATTATTATGCGTGATGTACGATGGCAGGAGCTGAAGGCGTTGATGGAATTCATGTACAAGGGTGAGATAAACGTCAGTCAGGATCAAATAAATCCTTTGTTGAAAGTGGCCGAAATGTTGAAAATCCGTGGCCTGGCAGAGGTGAGCAGTGGCCAAGCGGCTGGACCACAACTGTTGGCAGGGCACAGTAGGCCAATGTATCAGGAGGATGATAATGATGATGAAGAAGAGGAGGATCATGACACAGATCAGGATATGTCCCCCCATGCCAAGCGACCAAGAATACAAATAGCCCCGAAAATAGCAGCAACAACAACTGCAGCAGCAACACAAAATCCTGCAGAGCAAAGAATTCGCAAACGTTCTAGGGATGGTTTCTTTGTGGATGAGGGACGTGTCACACCTAAGATGGGGGAAAATAATAACAATAATAACACAAGGGTCCACTCTCCCCCGCCCCAGTTGAGGGAAAAAGAACATTGCCCGAGAAATCCAGGCGCCAATACCACCTCTACAATTGTCCGCAATCCTTTTGCTTCCCCCAATCCCATGGCCAGCTCAACACCAATAGAAACTACAACAGCCTTAAATTCAAACTCCACACCCCTGACATCATCATCTGCCACAAGTTCGCAAACAAATTCCGCTCAAAATTCGTCCTCCGCCAATGCAACATCTTCCACAAATCCCATGGCCTTAAATTATCGTCCGGAACGTAGCTGTTCACCGCCCCTGATGACACCACCTCAGCAGGTGCCTAGCCGTTCGGCAAGTGTAGGTGGTGGTGGTAATATAGCAACACCCTCATCTTTGCCTTCACCCTCAAGTAATGCCTCCAATGGACCAGCCCAGGCACCACCACAACCTCCGCCCATTTCAATACATCCCCATCCGGCAGCAGCTGCAGTGGCCGCTGCAGCCTTGGCCAATCCTCATCATCCGCATCATCATGCCGCCGCCGCGGCCCAGCAATTGGCCGCCCAACATCAACAGTTGCAGGCCGCGGCCCATTCGCATGCCATGGCCAGTGCTTTGGGTGCTTCACTGGCAGCAGCAGCGGCGGGAGCTTCAACGACGGCAAGTAATCCGGCGGGTGCCAGTTCTTCTTCGCATCACGATGATATGGAAATAAAACCGGAAATTGCCGAAATGATACGGGAAGAGGAGAGGGTAAGTTGACCAAAGACTAAAATTAAATATTATAAAATTTTATATATATTAGTTGTGTTCCCGCATTTTTTGGGGGAAGTTACTCTGCAATTTAAAAAAAAAATTACTCAAAGGCGTAAAAAAATGGTAAAATCCGTACTTAAAAATTAAATAAAATTTTATAGCCTTTTGGTAGGCCTTAAGGCTTGGATTTTTTTAAACAATTTTTATAGCCTCCTGGTAGGCTCTGAGGTGTGGATTTTTTAAACAATTTTTATAGCCTCCTGGTAGGCCCTGAGGTGTGGATTTTTTAAACAATTTTTATAGCCTCCTGGTAGGCCCTGAGGCGTGGATTTCATTAAACAATTTTTATAGCCTCTTGGTAGGCCCTAAGGCGTGGATTTTTAAAACAATTTTTATAGCCTCTTGGTAGACCCTAAGGCGTGGATTTTTTAAACAATTTGTATAGCTTCTTGGTAGAACCTAAGGTGTGGATTTTTTAAACAATTTTTATAGCCTCTTGGTAGGCCCTAAGGCGTGGATTTTTTAAACAATTTTTATAGCCTCTTGGTAGGCTCTAAGGCGTGGATTTTTTAAACAATTTTTATAACCTCTTGGTAGGCCCTAAGGCGTGGATTTTGTAAACAATTTTTATAGCCTCCTGGTAGGCCCTGAGGCGTGGATTTTTTAAACAATTTTTATAGCCTCTTGTTAGACCCTCAGGCGTGGATTTTTTAAACAATTTTTATAGCCTCTTGTTAGACCCTCAGGCGTGGATTTTTTAAACAATTTTTATAGCCTCTTGTTAGACCCTCAGGCGTGGATTTTTTTTTAACAATTTTTTTAAACAATTTTTAGCCTCCTGGTAGGCCCTGAGGCGTGGATTTTTTAAACAATTTTTAGAGCCTCTTGGATTTTTTAAACAGACCCTCCCTGAGGCGTGGATTTTTTAAACAATTTTTATAGCCTCTTGGTAGGCCCTGAGGCGTGGATTTTTTAAACAATTTTTAGAGCCTCTTGTTAGGCCCTGAGGCGTGGATTTTTTAAACAATTTTTATAGCCTCTTGGTAGGCCCTGAGGCGTGGATTTTTTAAACAATTTTTATAGCCTCCTGGTAGGCCCTGAGGCGTGGATTTTTTAAACAATTTTTATAGCCTCTTGGTAGGCCCTTAGGCGTGGATTTTTTTAAACAATTTTTATAGCCTCTTGGTAGGCCCTGAGGCGCGGATTTTTTAAACAATTTTTAGAGCTTCCTGGTAGGCCCTGAGGCGTGGATTTTTTAAACAATTTTTAGAGCTTCCTGGTAGGCCCTGAGGCGTGGATTTTTTAAACAATTTTTAGAGCTTCCTGGTAGGCCCTGAGGCGTTCCTGGTAGGCCCTGAGGCGTGGATTTTTTAAACAATTTTTAGAGCTTCCTGGTAGGCCCTGAGGCGTGGATTTTTTAAACAATTTTTAGAGCTTCCTGGTAGGCCCTGAGGCGTGGATTTTTTAAACAATTTTTATAGCCTCTTGGTAGGCCCTGAGGCGTGGATTTTTTAAACAATTTTTAGAGCTTCCTGGTAGGCCCTGAGGCGTGGATAATTTAAACAATTTTTAGAGCTTCCTGGTAGGCCCTGAGGCGTGGATTTTTTAAACAATTTTTAGAGCTTCCTGGTAGGCCCTGAGGCGTGGATTTTTTAAACAATTTTTAGAGCTTCCTGGTAGGCCCTGAGGCGTGGATTTTTTAAACAATTTTTAGAGCTTCCTGGTAGGCCCTGAGGCGTGGATTTTTTAAACAATTTTTATAACCTCTTGGTAGGCTCTTTTTGTTAAAATAGTACTGTATTGCAGGTTCTGGAACACAACTATTATTATTTAATAATAGTCGTTAATTTATAAGGAAAATTTAAAATTGCAAAAAAAAATCTCCACATAAACAAACACATGACATTCAATTATCTCCAGCAGCAGCAGCTGCGGTTAACTTATTTAAATCACAACGTTTAAATAATATTTAATAATGTTAGCGTGGTTTATAACTATTTTATTTTTTTGCAATTTGTTTTTACCTTTGCCTTGTTATTTACATTTGTCTCCGCCGTCTCCTTTGTTGTCTGTTTCTTAGTAATTTCAACAAATATTTACTTAAAGTTGAACGATGATTGTTGGATGTTGCTCTCCTCGAAACAAAGTGAAGTGATTTTTTTTCTTCTGCCGACAACTAGATGTGTGTGGCAAGCTCATATGCGCACATACATACACACACACATATTTATGTCTACTTATTGGCCTATTAGAAAAATAACCCAACAGATCGACAGACACACAAACAATGACTGCTTTAAGTAATTTTGTCATTAACTTGAAAATTATTAGCACACACTCTCTTCGCCCCCTGCTCAGGCTCCACCATTCACATACTTGACATTTCTAACTCCTCAACACTGAAGCGTAACGCATTTATTGCCACGCCAGTGTCTGTCTGTCTCTCACTCTCTGCCAAGATGTTGGGGCAAGGGCGAAGGGGGGTTCTTTATATTTTCTATAATGTAGTCATACTTTGAGACCCACAACTATACAAATAACTATAAATATAATAATGTTAACATGTTAATTTGTTTGTTTTTTGTGAAAATTAAAAACAATTTACAAAAAAATAAATAAATAAACAACAAACTATTTGGCAAATGTGAAATACAACACTATAATAATTTACAATTATCTTACACGTTAAAAGTCAATATTTCTGGTTTTATATAAATAAAAGCACAATTTTTTAACCATATAACAGTTTTTTGAGTGTATAACAGTTTTTTCCTTACTGTTAGACACGTTAAAAGTCAATATTTCTGTTTTAACACTAATAAAAACACAATTTTTTAATCACATAGCTGTTTTTTGAGAGTATAACAGTTTTTTCCTAACTGTTATACAGTGTAAAAATGTTATATTTCGGATTGTTTAACATTATATAGTTGATTTTATGACATTAGAAGAGTTTTACGACAAGTATAACAGTTTTCCACTAACTGTTATACAAAGTAAAATTTCAAAATTTTGCATTAAAATCAGATAGTATTGAATTTTAAAGCAGAATAACATGTTTTTAGGGTATAACAGTTTTGTGAAAAATTAATTTTTTATAGTATAACAGTATACAATGAAAAAATAATTTTATTTCCATCAAATACATGAAGAAAAATTACGAATATGCTTAAAAAATTTTAATATATTTTTGTTTAATTAATTTTACATTCGTATTTTAAAATTAAATATCAGCGAAAAATTTTAGTTCGAAAAAGGAGGATTGTTTATTTTTTTTTTTTTTTTACTTTAGAACAGTTTTATTAAGAGGTATATCAGTTTTTCATTTCATTTATATAAGGTAGAAATGCTATATTTTTAATCAGGAATTAATAAATAGCCGATTTCTACTTTTTGTTTGGTGGTTATATAACAGTTTATATAACTGTTATACTTTTTTCAAATTTTGCTTCCAAGATGTTTAATTTTGAGTTATATAGCAGAAAAACACATGTTATTAGTGTATAACAGTTTTGTTGTAACTGTTATACAAGACAAAATCTCAACATTTTGGCTCCAAATTTTAAAATATTGCATTCTAAAGTCGAACAATAAACTTTCTTGGTTTATACAGTTATTTTTAAGAATGTTATACTCGAAAAAATATGAATTTGTTTATTTTATGACCTTAGAACAGTTTTTTGGGAAGTATAACAGTTTTTTTATATCTTCTTATAAGGCTGAAATGTTATATTTTTGATTTGGAATTGAAATTTGGAATTAAATTGCTTATTTAGATAAAGAATTAAATGAATAGCCAATTTCATAACTTTTGAAAAGTTTGGTGGTTTTATAACAGTTTTCTATAACTGTTATACTTAGTTAAATTTTAAAATTTTGCTTCTCAAATCCTAAATATTGAATTTTAAAGCTGAACAACACATTTTCTTAGTGTATAACAGTTTTGTTGTAACTGTTATACAAGGCAAAATCTCAAAATTTTGGCTCTAAATTTGCAAAATATTGCATTCTTCAGCAGAATAATAAGGTTTCATGGTTTATACAGTTGTTTTTGAAACTGTTATACTCGGAAGAACATGATTTTTTTAATATAAAATCATAAATTGAAATAAAAGATCGCAAACTATTATAGTTTCATTGATTAATTGTATTAGAAATTTAAATAATCATATCGTTGAATAGAGGTTTCGGCAAGAATTGTGAACACTGCTAAGCAGTTCATTGATGTCATCTTCAAGGAATAGTTTTCATTCACATATGTCCAAAAAAAATATGTTTTTTTACACACATAAATAATACAATTTGTCCCCTGTAACTCTCACTCTTAAAGTTTCTAAAACAAAACACTTTTTGTCTGGCACATTTGCTTGTTCATGTAGCCATAAACCAAAATGTCAAAATGAAACGCCAAGTTTTCTTTGGCAAAAAAAAGTCACAGCCCCAACAAAATAATAACATCAACAACAAAAATCATTGAATAATTTTTCTTACGCCAAAAAATACGCACACACACACATACATACACTCGAATAAATACACATTTCCTTGTGCTTGCGCTCAGGCAGCCAGTCAGTCAGTCTGAGATCCCAGTATTAGATGACAGGGGGACTTTTTACAAATTGATTGTGTGTGTGTGTAAGAAAAAGTACGAACGTTTGTAGATGTATGTATGGACGTACACATTTTTTTGCGTTATTCTTCATTGTCTGTTTGTTGTTCGATGACGTTTGTTTCGGCTTGGACATGAATGAATGACTGAATGAATTTTTATGAGAACAAGGCAGCAAAAGTCGATGACGCCGCTAAAGATGTTGTTGATGATTATGATGACGATAATTTTGTTGTTGTTGTTGCTGTTGCCGTCGTTCGTTGAAGATGACAACAACGACGCGTCGTTGACTACAGACGGCGATGACACTACAATTTTGTTGTGATTGTGCACCTACCTCGGCTCGTTTTTTTTTTTTTTTGGTCAGAAGAAAGTCATCAGCGTTTGC